CTGAGGAACTGACGGGGCCTCTCTTGGTTTAGCCCTGGGAGCTGAGAGCTTGGAGGGGCGGGGAGGGGACTGTGTGGTGTTGTGCCTGGCGTGGAGGAGGCAGGATCCCACAAGAAGTAGACTTGCAGTTACCAGATGCTCAGGGTGGGCAAAGAGCTCTGCAGCCTCGTGAGCCTCCTTGGCCACTGTGAACTTGGACACACGTTGTTCCTGACCACCCCAGGCCGCTGGATGAAGGTCAGAGACACAGGAGACCTGTGACTGCCCAGAAATGACCTGCACCGGGGAGGGGCTGGTCGATTTCAAGTTCAGTCCTAGGAGAACGACCCTCAGCTGCTTGAGACCCAGAGTCCAGGGGACCTCTTTCCCCTGGGGTCCCTGACAAGCCATCAAGACCTGACCAGGGCCTGTGCAGGGTCTCAGTGGGGTTTGCAAGCTCTCTTGGGGACTTAGAAAGGCCTGGCAGGTTCTGTGTGGGAGGAGTTATGTGTCCCAGTCAGGTGTATGAGTGGCCATGTGCGTCCTGTTTAATAAAACCATGGGCAGAGTTGCCGCATCCCCTCACCCAACACCCGGCTTGTAAAGTGTCCCTCGATTCTCTTAAGTGTTTTAGGGGGAGACATGTGGAGAATGAGCAGAAATAGAGGACCGTGAAGGAAATGACAAATAGCTTCCCTTCCATACAGCCTCCCTGGGGGACACCAGACCTGAGGGTGAGGTAGAGATGTGGGGTACAGTCACCACCTGGTGGTCAGATGGGGACACAACACTCGGAACAGCTGCACAGGGAGGAGAAGCCAGACCCTCTCACTGCAGACCAGCCACTTCTCTGGGAAGCATTAGGGAAGGGCGGGGGTCCTCAGGGTTCCCATTCTGTGATGTCAAGGTAGCAAGGAGCCCCATGGGCCACAGTGAGGATGAAGGAAGTGGGCCATGCCACAGGATGCTCTGCCCTTACCCTGGGCCCGCCCAGCCATGCAGGGACCGGTAGCAGGTGGGTGAGCATGTGGACAGTGAATTACCTGCTGTGGCCTGATTGGTGTGACTGCCCCTCAATAGCTGGCTGGTGCCCATGGGGGCTTTGGAAGAACCATGGAAACTGAGGACCCTCTCAGACTTATTTTTAAGACCAGGAAGCTTCTGAAATGTCCTTTTTCTGATGGCTTATTGATGGGAGTCACCCTTCTCTAGGAAGGGTAAAACACAAAAACTTCAGTGGGCGGGCAGAGAATCCCATTTATTAAGGGGCTAGATTAAGAATTAATTAAGACACATGTTAAATTATCATAACAACTCTGCCAGAGTTGTTATGATCAGAGGATTTTTCTGTTTACAAATAAGGAAACTGAGGCTAGTAAACTGATATGCTCAAGATAACAGAAAATTCTAGAATGGAAGCAAGGGCCCTATGCCCTAGATGTGGCGGCAGGTGCTGAGGAATTTTCCCTGGGGGTGGTGTTATCAGGGACTTAATTCTTCCGTATCCTCAGGGCAGAGTCGGGGAGGGGTCCCTCTACAGCCCCACCTCTGCCACTCCAGGGCATCCCTCCACCCACGTCTAACCTGCACTTCTGTGTTGGGGCAAGCGGGGCGGGGGCAGCATCTTGGCCCTTGAACTGATTAGACCAGCCCCGACACAGGACAGTCAGTCCATTGGCTGGCCAGAGGGAAAGCCGGGCCCAGCAGGAAGGGCAGTCTTCAGGTCATCTGGGTCCTGGGGGTCAAGGGGAGCTTGCCCTCCAGAGAGAAAGAGCATCTGTGGAGCAGGAGGACTCTGCACACGGCACCAGAAAGGCCGAAGCAGAGAGCAGACAAGTTGCACAGAAGCAGCGCCCGGAGCAGAGCGTGTCCAGGACCCAGGTGGCCCAAGCCCTCTGTGGGAGCTGAATTTGGTACCTGAACATGTGCTCATTTAGCACTTGTTCTATGTATGTCTATCTCACAGAGGAGGAAACTGAGGCACAGAGAGATTGTGCAAATAGCCCAGGGTCACACAGTGAGTGCCTGCTGAGCTGGGGTTTGAGTCCTAGCAGACTGGCCTCAGAGTCACTACCCTTGATGACCATGTCACAAGGACGTGTGTGAGCTGCTGCAGGCCCTGTGCACTCAGAGTTGATGCAGGGTCATTAGAACTGCCCCCAGCCCTCATTCTAGTCCCTCTTCCCAGTGGGACCACTTACAAGGGGCCAAGCCCACCTGTCACACCTGCCCCTGGCACCTGGTCCAGCTGGGTACTCAGCCACCACCATCTCTGAGCCCCTGAGACCAGAGACAGCCTGTGTTTGCCACAGCTACTTGAGTCCACATCCTGTCTGTCACTCTGAACCCACCCCCACCTGCTTGGTACAGAAAGAGCACAGGCTTGGGGTCAGCCAGGGCTGAGTCCCCATTCTGTCCTCACTGGTCTGGGTCAAGGCAGCCTACCCCAGCGCCTGGCCTCAGTTGTGTCTGCTGACCAGCGTCTGCCCTCAGGGATGAACCCTGTACACCCAGGGCTGTGTGCTGCGTGCTATGCCGGGGACCCTTTGTTAGTAAGGTGACCTCCTTACCATTCCCAATGTGACCATGGACAGGGGAGGGGCGAACGTATCCATGCTTTCTGTGCATCTCATAAAATGAGTGTAAAGTTGTTTTTTTTTTTTTTTTGATTTGTTATTCCAGTATCTACTTATATGTCAAAACTGATCCCAAAGGTAGTGGCTTCAAACAACAGCAGGGACATTGGTTTGGCTATCCATCTGACGCCGGGGCCTGGCTCAGTCCCCTCTCTCCCCTCATTTCTGTCCTGTCCCCTGGCAGAACCCTTGAGTTTACTCTCGAAAATAAACATCAGGAAAGGAAGGTGTCTTGGGCTCCTTTGCTCCCATCTGCCCTGTGACCTGCACCCTCTAGCCACCGGGACACCCACAGCTGACTTTCCTGGAAACAAAGGAATCCTGGGGATGAAGCCTCCAGAAGTCACTCTACTCCTCTGGCTTCGCGTATAGGCTCCGGGGCTGGCTCTGCAACAGGGTCCCCAGACCCACCAAGGACACCTGTCTCTTTCAGACTGGGCCTTGGTGACAGCACCCTGGGAACTGGGGACTTCAGGGGTGTTTCTCCCACTGAGCCAGCTGCCAACATTCATCAGCACAGCGTGAACCATGGCTGGGAGCAGCAGAGACGGCCCACATTCAGAGTCGACATAGAGAGCCAGCGAGAGTCCCTGTCCTTTCTCAGGTTTATTTTATTAAAATAGACAGGACAGAATGTGGATGGGTGCTGGGAACAGGGGCCACCAGGCCGTGCCCAAGGGAGGCGCTTCTGCCATGCAGACATGCCGCAGCCTGCGTCCCCGCGTGGGAGACAGACCCCTCCTGGCGGACGTGCAGCCGCGAGGCCAAAGGGGCCAGGGCACTGCGGTGACCCTCTCCTGTGGCCTCGGCCCCCACAAGCACAGCCACACCAGCTAGAAGGGCCAGGCCGGGGAGGGGAGGGATCCCTGAGCCAGGGAAGCAGATGCCCTCCTGGAGGGGAGGGGACCCAGTCAGACGGGAGACAGGGTGTCAGTGCAACTCTGAGGGTGAGGCCCACCTTTCCTCTGAGGGCCCTGCTCACCCTGGGCCAGCCTCCTGGGGATACCCAGGGACTCCTGGAGCCAGGCCTGAGCCGAGGGGGCAGCAGCCGTTGGATGGAATGTATCGTGTGGGAATGTCCCTGGAGGCCCGTGCTGCCCAGGACAGGGCTCTTACTCAGGGAGGCCTGGGCAGGTGGGAGCAGCCTCTCTCTTCCTGAAGGTCCTGTCAACCGGCCACCCACTCCCAGTGCTCCAGGCTGGCCCCTGCCTTGCTGACAAGCCTCATCCCCAGGGCAGAGCCCAGCCCAGCCCAGCGGAGTCCCTGGGTTTGTGCTTTTGAGTGTTGGTGAGCTGTGCTGGGAATGGGCTTCAAGACCCCATGGCTCTGAGGCACAGAGGGGACCCCTGAGTTGGTTCCCCGGAGCCGCCCTCATCCAGGCTGCTGGGACCCAGAGCTCACGTGCCAGGAGCGCCTGGCCTCCAAAAGCAGAGTGTCTTTGGCTCCCCTTGGGGTGGCCTGAGCCGCAGGGAGCTTGTGCTTTGTGTACAGGGCTGGGTGAGAGTGGCCACAGAGCTCCAGTGGGGCGCGCAGCCAAGCTGCCGGGCCAGGGGGCAGGGGCAGCAGGAGAGGAGGGAAGTCCCTGCCCAACCTCTCCCAGCATGCCCGCTCTCTGGCTGCCGGTCCCTGAGCCACACGACTCCCCCAGGACATGAGGACCGAGGGGAGAACAGCCTGGTGCCGGACGATGGGCACCCACTGCCTTCCCATCCAGACAGGAATGGGTTCAGGGAAGCTTCTTCCTGCCTGGCGGAGGTGACAGACAGTTCCCCCCTCTGACACTCCAAGAAGCAACCCCCAGGCAAGAGCCCCAGCTGCTTCCTGGCATGAAGGAGAGCGAGGCCAGGGCCCTCACCCGACTGGCCTCACAGTGGGTGGCCTGGCACAGCCCCAGCTCCTCCAGGTGGGTGGAATGACAGGGTCTCAGGATCTCAGGGAAGTGGTTCTAGAAAGCTGCAGGCTCCGCCCCCTGGCCATCTCTTCCCTAGCTAGAGCCCCTCCCCACCAGCTGGCCCTCCAGGGTCCTGCAGTGAGGCTTTCTGGGAGGCCAGGAGTGTCTGGGGGAGGCCAGAGGAGTGCTGCGGCCAGGCCCCTGGGAGGCGGGAGGGGGGAGGTCTCAGGGGCTCACAGGGGTTTTTGCTTTGGAGACCAGGCTGCCTACCCCCAAGGCTCTTAAGGACACTGGCTGGTGGGGGCTGAGCCCCTCCTGACTCCACCACCCTCTGCCAGCCCAAAGGAACCATGTGTGTGTGTGTGTGTGTGTTGTGTGTGTGTGTGTGTGTGTCAGGAGTACACTGTTCACTTTTTGCAAATATATTACAAAAAACTTTGTCATGGAGGCTGCTCCTGGCAGGACTGAGGTTTCCTGGGGGTGAAGTGGCAGCAGCCACCCAGGTTTCCCCCACACTTCCTAGATGACGTTCTCAAACAGCTGCATGGAGCTCATGATGTTCTCATCCTGCGTGGAGAGAGCAGTGACCTGGTCAGGCACTGGGTGGACAGGGCCGGGGAGAGGGGTCCCCAAGCCCACCCACCCAGGTGGAGTCAAGCCAGCGATGCTCTCTCRCTGGGTGGGTGGGGTGCTGAGGAGCAAAGACAGGGCAGCAGAGACCCCTGCTGTCCTGGCACGGCCTGTCTGCAGCCCTCAGGCCCGACTGACCCACAGAGAAGTCCCTGGCTGCACATCCTGAAGAGGCGGGTGACCCAGAGGCCAGCCACTCAAGGAGCAGAGCGGCTGTGAGCTGGTGGGGACCCAGCATCCTGCCGGGTGGGGGGTCTCTGAGGGCGGCTGGCTGCTGGTTTGGAAGGGCTCTGGGTCCATTTGCCCAGCGGCCCTGTCCCAAGGGTTGCTGGGCTGATCACCCTCCTGCGGGTCTCCCTCTGCCCACTCTGATCTGAGGTACAAGGAGGGAGGGCTGAGGGAGGGTCTTCACAGGTGGGCGATGGGCTGGCAGGAGCAGGCCAGTGATTGGGAGGGTCCCCAGGATGCTGATGGCATCCTCCCTGGGCCCCCACAGGGGCAGGACCAGGACATGTCACCCTCCCCCTGGCATCTGGTCCCCAGCCCACCTATATCTGGTTCACCCTCCCCCAGGCACCTCATCCCCAGCCTACCTACCTTCTTGGGTGATCCTTCCCCGGACGCCTGGTCCCCAGCCCACCTACCTTCTGGCAGCTCTCTAGGAACTCGTCAATGGTCACCACCCCATCCTGGTTCCGGTCCATTTTCTGAAACCCAAGTCATATCCAAGGTGAGTCTGTGCCTCACCAGGGACAGCCCTTGATTCCAGCCTGAGGGAGCCATGGCAGGTGGGTGGAAGCCCCCTGCACCCCAGTGTGTTCTTGTACCCCTGCCCTGGGTGTGTCTGTTGTCCACCCCAGGGCTGGCCTTTCCAGTGTCTGACACCTGCATGCTCCACTGCTTCCGGAAGACCCATCTGGGCTTCTGCCTCCCTCATTCTCCCTGCTCATCTGGGCCTCACCCCCCGGTGCACCCAGGGCAGAGGAAGCAAGCGACAGGACCCAGAATGGCGAGGGTCTAGAAGCCGCTGTGAGTGGGAGCCAGGGCCTGCAGCTCCTTTTGCCACGTGGGCCCCAAGGTCACCCGTCTGCCAGGTCCCTTCGGGAGTTGCTGGAAGTGCCCCACCAGGTGCCAGAGCATGGTGGGCACGTCGGCTGCCCCACAAGCCCCAGCCCAGCCTGCCTGAGATGAGGTTCTGTGGGGCCATTCCTCAGGGAACAGTGACCACTAGCCAACTGGGGAGTCAAGCTGGACACCCCGGGGGGAGTGGGAAGGCCCAGCAAGGGCAGGTGGGTGGCCCAGGGATGCCCTGGGGCAAGTTGGGCTCCCTCCGCTGGGCTCCCTCCCCTGGTGCCAGGGCAGGCGCCGCCCACCTGGAAGAACCTCTCCACGTGCTCCAGAGGCGCGTCTTCCCGCAGGATGGGGTAGGTGTGGCGGCCCATCATGTCATAGATGGACTTCATGATGGCCAGCATTTCCTGGGAGGCAGGGCACAGAAGGGCTGGCATGAGCCGGCGGGGGCACCTAGAGGCTCTGAGGACCCCAGGAGAAGGGGCTGTTTCAAAGGACAGTTACCACCTCTACAGGTGGAGAAGGAGCAAGAGAGGCCCTGAGAGCCACAGAGAGACCAGCCTACCCTCAGGGTCACCCAGCACCAGCTTCTGCCTCTCTGAGAGGTTTGACAGAGGTTGTCATTTGCCACTCTGGAAGCTAGACATGGTATCAACTACTTCAGATACAAAAAGAAAAAAAAAAAAGGTATTGCAATTTTTTTTTTTAAGGTCTGGTCCTGTCTACACTTCTGCCTTAAGAGACCACACTGACCCTCTCTCTTGGAAGGGGCCAAGGCCAAGTCCCCTACGTCTGCCCTGACCCTCTCTGTAGCAGAGATGACCAAGAACGGGTCATGGGCTGGACCGAGAAGTGTGGTAGAAGCCACGCTGTATGCCCAGGCACCCAGGACTGAATGGGGGACAGGAGGGCCACCCACAGAGAGCCACCAGGACAAAGGGTGGAAAGAGCAGTCTGGAGGGGAGTGGTGATGGGGACGAGGGCAGAGGGCCTGGCCCGCCACCAGGTACCTCCTTGGTGATGTAGCCGTCCTTGTTAATGTCATAGAGGTTGAAGGCCCACTTGAGCTTCTCGTGTACCGTCCCTCGCAGCAGGATGGAGAGCCCCACCACGAAGTCCTGCGGGGGAGAGGAGGGCCGGGAGTGACCACCCAAGCCCCAGTCCTTCTCCTGTTCACTGGGAAGCTCTCCTGCAGGGGCGGTGTCTCCATGAGAACGGGGAGGACGCCGTCCCTCTTGGTTGACACGTGTGAGCACATGTGCCTATACCAGCGGGGCCTGTGTCCCCCGCCTGGGTGCTGCCATCGCCTGTGGGGCAGACCCAGGAAGCACTGCTCAGGTGACAGACATGGCTGTTCACACGGCTTCCATGTGCAAACACCAACTGGTTGTGGCAGTTGACAGGGGGCACGTCTTTGCGCCCACCTTCTGCAAGGTTAGGAGGCCGAGCCCCCTGCTCCTCTGGGGCTGCTCAAAAGAAAGGGGTTCTGCCTGGGGAGTGGGGGTGCAGGTGGCTGATTGCAGCACATCAGAGGACTCAGTCCCCACTCAAGTGTCAGATTTTCTGGGTCTGAGAAAGCCTGTTCCACCAGAGGGAAAAACTAAGGGGAACAGAGGAAAAGAATTAGGATGGACAATGATGATGATAGGAGAAAAAAATTAACAAAAGAGAAGAGAAATCTTGTCTCCCTAAAATAAGAACAGGAGGCTATTGGAAAAAAAAAAAGAGGTCTAATTGGAAACAAGAAAGAGCTCTTGGGAATTAAAAATAAGAAAGCAAGATGGCAGACTCAGAAGGAGGTTGGAAGGGCCAGTGGAGCCTTCCAGAAAGAGCTGGAAAACAGAAAGGAGGCCTGCAAGGGCCCCTCTGGTGCCAGGCTGGTGGGCGTTCCAGGGAGAACCAGAGGGTCCAGAGCTGGGGGCTTCCGAGGAACCGGAGCACCATGGGGACCCCCCTTCAAACCCCAAGTCTTGTGGCCAAGTCAGAAAGATTTCAGACGTGTCGCTCAGAGTGACAGGCATGAGTTTATGGACGAGACAGGGAAAAGGGCAAGGGACCCCCTGAAGGGAGAGGGTGGGTCCTCTTGTTAGTGGACAGATGTGAGTGGTGGAACCTGAGGTTCCAAGAATAATTCTGGACAGCGGCCCCACTGTGCTGACCCCTGCGTGATTTCTTTTCCAAGAAGCAATTTACTTGCAGCTCTGCCTGACCCCAAGAGGAATCCGCCTTACCCCGAAGGGGGGACTTTTGTGACCAGATCCTGAAACTCTGGGAGATAAGGATAGTTCCTCCTGGCCATAAAATCTGTAAGAATGTATGGTGAAGAATCCAATTAGAGCTGCTCAGCATGGGCTAAGGTAACCTGGAGTTGCCAGGACAGTGGGGACTTGAAAGTCTGATGTCACCCTGCTGTCAGTCAAAAGCCAAGAGGTGGACCTGGACAGAACTTTCTGGAACTTCTCTGGGATCCCCAATAAAACTGGAGTTTGGGAGAGGCACACTGTCCCTCTCCGCTCTGAGAGGATCCACCCACTCTCTCCCTTGAGGGTGTCCCCTTTCGCTTTTCCTGTCCCTWTAGTAAACTCATGCCTGTCACTCTGAGTGACATATCTGAAATTTCTCTGACTTGGTTGCAAGACTTGGGCTTTGCAGTGGGGGTCTTCGTGGTGCCTCAGTTTCTCCAAAGGCCCCAGCTCTGTAACAAAAGGAAAGAGGGACGCGGGTCAAAGAGATCAGGAAGAAAGAGTGGCCAGGAGAAAGTCTGTGGGTCCCTGTGAGGCTCCGCTGGGCACCCAGTGCCAGCTGCAGCCTGCTGGAGAGTAGGGAGTGGGGTGCGTGGCCTGGGGAGGCCCGGCTGCCCACCCCCAATAGAGGACCAGGACGCACCTCTGAACCAGAGGGTCAGGAGGAGCTGCCCAGCATGCCACGGCGGACGACAGGCTCAAACAGGACGAGGCGGTTCCCAGCAGACACCCTCCTGGGGCCCGCGAGCTCTGCCATGGGAGTCCACGGTGTGGGGCCTGCTCAGCAGCCATGCTTCTACCGTGGGCCCCGGGGGCACCAGCACCACCTTCTGCCATGGCCCGCTGCTAACAACCAAGAAGTGTGCCTACTTGTGTCCCTTAGGGGTGACAGTACTAGGAGATGGAGGTGGCAATGTCCTTTGCCAGGCCACTGGCAGGCCTCATTTGTAAAGGAAATACGCAGGTGACCCTGAGTGTGGCTAGCCCAGGTCTGGGCGTGTCATGGTTTGGATGTGAAGTGTCCCCCAAAAGCTCATGTGTGACACAATGCAAGAAGGTCCAGAGGAGGAGTGACTGGGTCATGAGAGTCTTCACCCAATCTGAGAATTAATTCTGATAGGGATTAGCTGAGTGGTAACTGAAGGCAGGTGGGGTGTGGCTGGAGGAGGTGGCACTGGGGTGTGGCTTCGGGGTATATATTTGTATCTGGCGGGTGGAGTCTCTCTCTGTTTCCTGATCACCACTTGAGCCTCTTCTCTCTGCCACACTCTCCCGCCATGATGTTCAGCCTCGCGCCAGCCCTGAGGAATGGAGCCAGGCTTCTATGGACTGAGACCTCTGAAGCCGTGAGCCCTTAAATAAACTCTTCCTCCTCTACAGTCGGGCTGGTCGGGTCCTTTAGTCACAGCAGCGGAAAAAGCTGACTCCGAGTGCATTGCTGTTCTAAAGTTCAGGGCCACACGGCACAGTTTCTCGTGTGACCATCATCAGTTCTAACTCCTTGTTCTGGTCACCAACACCCAGGAATCCTGTCATATCACAGCCCCTGCTCTGCCACTATCTCTGAGGCCGTGTCCAGGGAGGTGCAGGGCTCCTATGGTGTCCCCTAGACTCAGGGGACACAGGAGGGTGCGTGGCAGAGCCCAGGGCAGGTGCTTGGCTGGCAGTGGGGAGCCAAGGGTGACTATCGGGTGGCCGGCTGCCCTCATCAGTGACACTCATCATGACCAGGGATGCTCAGCCTGGTTGATGACGTGGTTTACTGCAGGGGTGGGAACAGAGAGGTGCCCATGCCTTCCAGGCTGGTCCTGGCCAGCACTTTCCAAAGGCACAGCTCAGCCAAGGCCACATCCACCCTCGGTGGCTCGCCTCTATCCTGGGCACCGAGAAGCACCAGCCAAGAAGAACTGTTTAGAAAGCTCTGTGCCTCTCTGGCCAGGTGAACCAGCTGAGTTAGAAAGGCTCCGATGATGCGGAGAGTGGAAGGGAGGCCCACACCAGGCTCCCTGCTGCTGGGACCGGAGCAGGTGCCAGACCCCGAGGCAGGGAAGGGGACTGCATCTGAGGTTTGCTGGCTCTGAGGTTTCTTTCCTTTTTTGGTGTTCACTTTGGGGAAGGCAGAGAAGTTACACTATTTCATTATCCCAGTAAACTGTAATGAATGTGTGTCTTGTCCCCAAGTACACTCAGAAAGGACGGGGGTCATCGTAAGTATTGATAAGCCAACTTGACTTTCCATTTTAGGGGTGCATGGAAGGTTCTGGAAGCCTGGAAGTGAGGAGGGCCGCGTGCCCTCTCCTTCCCTGAGCATGGCTTCCCCGGGGGTGAGCACTGACGTCAAGAGGCTCCTGTGGGGTTCCACATGAAGCCAGGGAAATGCGTTTCATCCGCAGAGACGGGCATGGAACCCTCAAAAGACACCAGGAGGACGGCCTTCTACCGTGCCCAGCAGGGCGGCTTCCGCACAGCTCCGTCTCAGCCTCTGACAGACCACCTCCCACAAAGACTGCCTCCAAGGACCCCAGACCTCCCTGGGGGGAGTGTGGCCATGACCCTCMTGAGCGTTCCCCAGCACAGGGCCCTGCTAAGCCGTTCCACTTCTGAACAAGAAAACTGTGTCCTGCCACACCTGGCTGGGCCCTGGCTCTGGGCTCTGAGAGGCCACGTGGAGAGGCCACGTGGGAAACTGGCCACCAGGGACGGGCAGGAGGAGACCAGGAAGCCCCAGCACTCTGATGCTGCCTGGATCCTCCCGGTGCTGTGGCCGTGGTATTTGGGTGATACTGAAAATAAAGGAGAGGCCCACGTTGGGTGCCACACAGGCCGGGAGCCCTGCAAGTCCGGAGGTGGGGGGGGGCTGTGGTCACAGAGCAAGGCCGAGGCCTGGGGCTGCCCCAGCCCATCTGTCCTGCGTGTCAGTGTGTGGCCGGCACACAGTGTAAAAATAAACCAGGTGGCGCTAGGCCGGGTTATTATTACCCCAGCTCCTCTGCTGCTGGCGGCAGCGCCTGTGGCCCTGGAAGCCGAGCTGCCTGGATCGATCAGGCTGCCTCCAGCAAGGGGCTCTCTCTGAAGAGGGTTCAGGGTTCCGCCTGCAGCTATTTTTAGGGGCTCAGGCGCCACAGCTGAGATCTCTCTCAAATGATGCCCTGGTGCAGAGCAGGCAAGGCCCCCTGGGGGACACTGTCTGTCAGTGGCGGGGCCTGGCTTCCCCTTGTCACCCTGGGGAACCCTGGGCCTCGCTCTCAGCCTCCAGCTGGGAGGATGGCCTGGGGCCCACTCAGGCTGTTCTCCGGATGTTTCTGGCCTGCTTGGGCAGTAACTAGGAGCAGGGCACCCCACGCCCAGCACCAGGACTCGGTCAGACCTGACCCCTGAACATGCACATTCACACGCATCACAGCCACTGCCCAGGTAGGAGCAGCTGGGCAGAGCTGGCAGCCAACTCCTGGAATGGAGGAGAAGACTCAGAACAGGGGACCTGGGCAGCAAGGTCCAGCTCCCTGACCATCTCTGTGTGTGGCACGGGCCGGCGGGGACCTACCTCGAAGCGGATGGCCCCGTTCCCATCGGCATCGAAGGCGTTGAAGAGAAAGTGTGCGTAGGTGGTGGCATCTGGGGAGAGCAAGGGTGAGGCTGGGTGGGGACATGGGATGCCTGCAGGCCCACCCGCACCCTGGCCGCCCCACCTGGGAGGGGGTCCCAGCTTTGCCTGGGGCAGGAGACCCTTCAAAAGGGACAGAAGCCGTGCCAGGCCYCCAGAAGGCAAGCGGTGGCACCAGGGCGTGGGTGGCAGCTGGGTCTCCTCCCCGCGAATGGGATGGGGGCGGSGCTTTGGAGCAGCCCCGCCCACCTCGCCCCCGACTCACCTCCCTGAGGGAAGAACTGCGAGTAGATGAGTTTGAAGGTGTCCTCGTCCACCAGGCCCGTGGGACACTCCTGCAATGGGAAGTCACCCCCTCAGCCATCCTGGACAATCCCTGCTCCGGGCCAATTCCACAGCGCCTGGCCTCTCCCTCCCCTGGAGGGCTGCACGCTGCCGAGGCCCTGCTGGCCCTGGGTGGGGGCTGCCCGGTCATGCCAAGCTGCTCCACATGTTCTGCTGAGGAGCGCAGTGGCCGTCACAGCGCCCACCCTGGAGCCTGCCCACCCCAGGCAGCTATCCACAACACCCGAGTTCCGGAATGCCCCTGTAGTRTCCCTATGCTTTGCAGAAGTTTCTAGGAGGTTCCCTGGGCCAGGGTCCCTCCCGCTTGGATGGGGCTGGGCAGCCAGGCTCCTAGGGCCTCTCCCGGGTGCACAGGAAGCACTCACGTTCTTGAAGCCCCGGTAGAGTGACTGCAGCTCCTTCTTGGTGAACTTGGTCTGTGCCTGCAGCTGGTCCAGCCCCTCTGGCTGGTGGCGCACCGTGGACAGTTCCAGCTCACTGTCACTGCTATCTGGAAGGGACACAGACCCAGGAGGGAGAGACATGTGCTGTGGGCAGGTGCCAGGGCATGAGCTGAAACAGGGCATTGAGGGACTCTCCTTGAATGACATATATGGTCACACAGGCTGTGCACCGAACAAATGGAGGGACCGTGATAGAATGGCATGCTTGGGGGTTGTGCCTCACAGCTTCCCTGCTCACTGACAGGGCCTCCCCGCCTGCCTCACCCTCAGGGTGCCCCCCCCCCAGCCACACAGTGGGAGAGGCACCAATCAAGGGACACAGGAGGAAAAAGACAGCAGACTAGGCAAGAGGAACCCTCGACCTTCAAGACCCTCTTCTTAGACCACCCTTCCTTGAGGCCCTCCCGACTTGCCCAGGAGTCGGGGTGCTGCTCATGGCCCACTGCGAGCTCACATGCTGCTATTTGGCCACATCTGGCACAGGGGTGTTATTCTCATTTGGGGAGGGGGCCAGAACTCCAGACCCATGGGGCAGGGACCAGACCTTTCCTTAAAAAAAGAAACCACAAGAAAACACGAACAATGGCTACTACCTTAGTGGGGAGAGGGAATTCTGAGCTGTCTTTACTATTCGTGTTTTTTTTTTTTTTTTAACATCTTCCTGATTTCTTTTGGTATGGTCACTTTTACAATAAAATAAAGCTGTGAACAAAAGAGCATTGTGCTCCCATGCCTTGCTGGGCAGCAGGTTCACATGGGAATGTCACTGTCCCACTGCCAGGGAGGTACGGGCCCCCAGGCAAAGCGTCTGCTTCCCCTGCACCATGCAGAATGGTGAGCCAGGCTTGTCTGCAGAGCCCATCCTGATGTGCCCTGCAGGGGGCGCTCTTCAGGGGCTTCCCACACTGTTGGACCAGAGCCCAGGATGCCTCCCTGGGCTGGGCTCCTGAGCAGAGCTGCTCTGGGCTAGGCGATGAAAGTACCCTGCTTCATTTCCCTGGTCCATGCACAGTTCAGTCTCTAGGGCAACTACTTCCTGTCTTCCTTCTCTTTAGGTCTCCATCCTCCTCCCCATCTTTACCCTCAGGTTGACTCCTACTTCATCAAGAAAACAAAAACCACAGAAGGAATTTCCCCAAGCTCCTGCCAGCACACCTGCCCACCTACCTGCACAGGGCCCAGACTCTGCTCTCCCTCCTCTGTCCCTGTGAAGGCAAACCCTCCTGCCTGGGCAGTGGGTCTCGGCTCCTGACCCACTCAACCATAGGGCTCCAGAAATTCTCCCCACTTCCTCATMGTCTTTCCCTCCTCCTTTCCAGATCATCCCCATTATCAGATGGACATGTTGATAAGTCTGGCAATCCTTAGTCAAAGGGAGCCTAGGCAAACCGTGTAGCCAGCAAGTCCACTGTGGGTAGACACACCCCAGAGGCTCTTCCCCAGCTAAGGGGGTCTGTACAGGAAGCTCACAGCAACAGTCTTAGCTGGGGGCAGGTTGGAGACAGCTCAGTGGTCTATCAGAGCAAGATCAAAATGCAGAGGACCCAGGCCAGGGAGAGCAGGTGATCCCATGAGCACAGAGCAACACGTGGGTGGATGCCAAAAATAAGGCATGTCCTTCCATTAACAGGCAGAGTCTTCAGATTGCATCAAAAAACAAAATCCTGCTACATGCTATCTACAAAAAGGATGCCCTTAATACGAAGATGCAGACTGGTTGAGAGTCAGACTGTGGGGAAAAGGATCAAAAGCTGGACATTTCCTGATATACAAAATTCATTTCATCCAGAAGATGGAATAATCTGAAATATAATATAGTCGCCCAGTAACAGAGCTTTAAAATACCTGAAGCAAAAAACTCAGAACTAAAAGGAGAAACAGATTACACCCTAACCATAGCTGCAGACTTTAACATCCTTTTTCAGTAAAGGGCACAAGTAAATATATGAAAGATTTAGAAGCTATTATCAACCAATTTGGCCTAATTGATATTTATAGAACAAACGTAAAATACACATTCTTTTTGAGAGCACATTCTGTGGTCATCAAGACACACCAGATGCAGGGAAATARAACAGACTCTGACCACAATGGCAATAAGTTAAGTTCAAAACAAGATATTCAGACTATCTCAAATATTTGGAAATTAAAAAAAAAAAACTTCTAACTAACTCATAAGAAAAACTGCAAGGTGAACTTTGARTTGAATGATCATAAAAACACAGCATATCAAAATTCGCTGGGTGAAGCTAAAGCTGTGCTTAGAGGAAATGGCGTAGTTTTAAATTCCTTCCCTGGAAAAGAAGATTGGCACAATCTTGGGGCTCCAGCAATTCTCCCTACGCCTTGAGCTTCCAGAGCTAAGCTTTAAAATCTAGAAAACCCAGAGCAAATAAAATTCAAAGTAAGTAGAATAAAGAACATAGTAACAATTAGGTTAGAAAACAATGAAGAAAGGGCTGGGGATGTGGCTCAAGTGGTAGTGAGCTCGCCTGGCAGGCATGGGGCGCTGGATTCGATCCTCAGCACCTCATGCAAATAAAATAAAGATGTTGCGTCCACCGAGAACTAAGAAATAAATATTAAAAATTCTCTCTCTCTCTTAAAAAAAGAAAAGAAAAGAAAACAGGCACACTCAGAGAGAAACCAATCAAGTCATCAAGAAATGCAGTGGGCAGGTCACAGACGCCAGATCACAAAGGACTCATTTCCAAAATATATAATGAACTTCCTCCCATTTTTTTAAAGAGGCAAAAGACTAGGAACTTCACAAAAGAAGATATATAAAGGCCAGTTAACACAAGAAAAGTGCTGACAGTGTCAATCAAAGGAATAAATTAAYCCAATTCAAAACACAAAAATGCCCAGTCATCTACGATTCTAAAAACACCAAACGCCCCTGTGAGCATGTGAAGCAACTGGAACTCTCGAATGCTGTCGATGGCACAACCCTGTGGAGAGCTACTGGCAGTTTCTTACAAAGTCATAACCCATGTCCTCCTTGACCTACTTACACCAGGTGAGCAAACATAAAGTGAAAATATTCTTCCACAAAAAGACTTGTTCAAGAATACTGATAATAGCTCTATTCTTTTTTATATTTTGTCTTTATTATACTTTTTGGTGGTACTGAGGTTTAAACCCTCCTGATCTGCATCCTGAGCCATTTCTGTTTTTCATTTTGAGACGGGGTCTCACTAAGTGGCCCAGGCTGATCTTGAACTTGCCATCCTTCTGCCTCAGCCTCCTTTCTTCTTCTTCTTCTTCTTTTTTTTAATATTTATTTTTAGGTGTAGATGGACACAACACAATGCCTTTATTTTTTTAACGTGGTGCTGAGGATTGAACCTGGGTCCCACCGGTGCTAGGCGAGTGCTCTACTGCTGATACTGCTGAGCCACAATCCCAGCCCTATTCTTTTTGGTCGTTGATGGACCTTTACTTTTATTTATTTATTTATTTATTTATTTATTTATTTATTTATTTAATGCTGACGATGGAACCCCGKGCCTCACACATGCTAGGCAAGCTCTCTACCACTGAGCCCCAGCCCCAGCCCAGCTTTATTCCCAACAGTCCCTAACTGGAACTGACCCAATCAACAGAAGCAGGGAAATGTGGCACATTTATTGTGATGGAACACTAGTCTCCATTTAAAAAAGAAGGGACCATTGATACATGTCACAATGTGGATGCCGCTCAATCGTGCAGGGGGAAAGATACCAGATGTGAAAGCGTTTACACGTCGTGACTCCGTGTATACAAAGGCCTGGGACAGGCGGCGCTAATGGCACTGTGATGGAAAGCAGCGCAGCAGGGGACGGTGAGGGGCACGCTGTCCAAACTCAGGGACTGAACTGAGGCCTCTGTGCATTTTGCTGTATGCAAATCAGACCCACATTGACAAAATAAATAAATAAATAAATAAATAAAGACCAGCGAAAAGACTGAGGCGACTTCTGCTTTCGGTGGTGACAGGACGTGAGCGCAGACTTACCTTCCCACCGCCACCGACTTTAGAGCTGGAAGAAATATGAGAGGAGAGTGTTCTCGGGCTGGATGACGGGGAACCGAAGCGAGGTCCGCAGTCCCCTGGGACGTCTGCCCGGAGACACTTTCCAGACCGTGGCACAGGGAGTGGGACGTGAGCTAAGGCGCAGCTGGTAAGGCTGAGAGGGGAGCTGGGGCTGCTAAGGCCGGTGGAGCGTTCGGAGCAGCGTCCTGGGGAGGAGTGGCCGCAGGAGTCTGGGTGGGCCTTCCCCTGGGGTCTTGACCACAGGCTGGACTGCAGGATGAGACTCCACCAGGCCAGGAGAAGGTGGCTACAGGGACCAGGGAAGGTGGGATGAGGGGCACAGGGACATATGGGAAGTCATGCAGTGGTGGGACCAATTGGGGAACTGGCTCAGGCAGAATGTCGATGCCACACCTCAGGGGTCAAGATGAAATTCCAGAAAGGCTGTGCTTTGGGAGTGAGGACCCTGCCTGAGGAAGAGCCTGCTTTACACCTAAGGACAAAATAAACACGAACCTGCTCTGGGGAGAAAGCCTAAAATAAATTCTACAAAAATCAAGCAATCTGCCAGGCACATGGTGCACACCTGTCATCCCAGTGTCTCAGGAGGCTGAAGCAGGAGGATCACAAGTTCAAAGCCAGCCTCAGCAATTTAGTGAGGCCCTAAACAATTAGCGAGACCCTGTCTCAAAAAAAGACACAAAAAGGGGCTAAGGGATGTGGCTTAGTGGTTAAGCGTTCCTGGGTTCAATCCCAGTTCCAAAAAAAAAAAAAAAAAAAAAATCAAGAAATCTGTCAGTAACTTCTTAAGTGTCAGCCAAAATTCAATAGATTTATATCAAGATATATAATTTAGACAACATAATTTCATAGACATAACATTCATAATGTCCAACATAGAATAAAAAAATTAAAAGACATGAGAAGCAGATGGAAATGTGATAATCATCAAAAGGTAAAGGAGTGAGCAAAATTAGTAGATTTTCATAATTGGACTTATTAGAATTACTAAAATGAGCTTTAAAACAAACA